ACACACACACCTTTCTTTACAACTTCCGGAAGTCCCTCAGGCTCAAACTCGCTGTCTTCGGCAGCTTCCGCAGGGTGGATACCACTTTTGACCCCTTTCTTGCTTTTTTTAGAAAACGTCTCTGGTGTAGAAGGCGCTGTTCCTCCTCCATTCTCCCGAATCCCACTGGACCTCTGCCGTTTGCCTGAAGCTTTACTTTGGCCGGATGGTAAGTTCTTTTCAGTAACAGGCGGGACTGGAGATGATCCTGAAACAAGTGAATTCAGCACAGGAGAGCTCTGGAGGCTGTTAGATGGCTGTGAGCTCAGACGGGCAACCTGTGTTTCTAACAACTCCTTGGCTCGCTCCAACTTCTCATGGCTTATCAGCAGGGAACAGTACTTATCCAAGTATTCGTCGGCCTCCTTGCATTTTTCTTCAAGGCTTTCCTTCAGTTCTTTCACCTCGGTCATTAATTCATCAACATTGGCATCCACAACAGTACCTGTCAAAAATAAAGTGATACATCATGTCCCCTGGTGCTTCTCTGGTTGACACTGGGCATGATCAAGCAGGAAACTTTAGGCATGTTCTTCGATTTTTCTTTTTTTGAGACGTCAGGGAAATATAGCTACACACGTTCTGATAGTTCAAACAACTCTTGTTTGGGAGGGGTCATATCAAGGTACATATTCTAGTTGAATACATACCTCTTATTAGGAAAACTTAAGTAAAATCCACCAAAATCTCAAACTCGTATTTCAGCCAGCACATCCAACTTTCTTGCAGTTATTCATGAGCTCAAATGAATTTAGCACATCCTTTATTTTCCCCTGTCCATTCCTTCCATCATAAGTGAATGAACAACAAAAGCACGTAAAGAATATGAAGGCCCAGTTGTACTGGCTTTGGGAGAAAGAAGGGGGCCCGTGACAAGGTGAGTCCAAAAAAGCTCTGGAAACCATTTGAAAACAATGGAGAGTCTGGTGGACAAAAACTTGGGGGAACGCTATAAAGGTGGGAGTCTTGGTCAACTTGTAGCTGCCATGACTGGTGTTCAGTCCATTAGAAAAGCCCCACTACACTCTGGGTACTCTTCTCAGCAGGCAATATCATCGACCCACCCTGCCAAACTACGGGCCGGAAGAGCCACTCATACACTTGCCATCATCACCTTTCAATTCAGTAAGAGCATTCGATTCTGGGGGCACAAGTACAGAAAGGTGACAAGGACACTTGTCACTGCTCTTCTTTATTTTACCTCCACACCCAAAAACATAGCGTCCCCCCACCCACTTCCATTTATTTGACCCACAAGGATGGGCCAAGGAAGCCAGGATCAGCTGTTCATAAATTACTACCAGCTCCGATGCCAATCTGTCTTTGACGCAGAACTAGGTAGAGGAAAAACTCATCTTAGAATGGCTCACGAGCAAAAAGCGCTGCCAGTTTTTTTGTACGTGTTACAGCACAGGAGATGTGATTATTTTATTTCAAAATGCAGGCTGGCTTCCTTCCTAACCGTATTAATGACCCCACGCTGAGCACAGAACTTGGAAACTGGACAGTGGACAACCGCTGAAAGCCAGCACGCCACAACAGAACAGAGATTCCGAATACTTCCTGTGGACACCACCAGGATGTCCCCAGAGGAACATGGTCTTGGCTCACTGACGTGCCCAGGGGACACCCACCTGTTTTCTGCTTATCTTGTGCAGCCTCTTCAAGGTGAGACAGCTCTTTCTGTAGCATTTCTTTTGCCTCCTCCAGCTGTTTACTGGATTTGATCAACAACTTTATTTTTTCCTGCAAACGTTGATTTTCCTTCTTCAGCTGATTTGCATATTTTAGATTGTCCATCTATGAAACAAAGCCTTGAATTTAAAACTATGAATTTCTCTTTATGAGCATCAAATAATTTTAAAGATACAATTAAGAATCACATACTGTAAATTTAAGAATGACTATGCTCAAAATATCTACAGATGCATGAAACAATTCACCTTCCCTACTCAGTTTCCTGTCTCCCCAATAGACACTGGTGTTGTCACTCCCCTGCTTAGTATCAGCAAGCATAAAGCATGGTTCCTAAGATAATGTTCTATTAAGTTGCCCACTGTGCCTGTGTTTATCCAATGAGAATCACACGTGGGGGCGGAGTTAGGGGGTCAATGGACATAGTCTTTTTTATTTTTATTTTCAGTTACAGTTGGCATTCAATATTATTCGTTTCAGGTGTACAGCATGGTGGTTATACATTTATATACCTTACAAAGTGATTCCCCTGATAATNTCTGACCTGACAGGGCCATTGCCCACCAGGCTCGCTCTCAGTGGCCTGCTGAATCGAGGACAAGGCTGGCAGCAGGACAACGTCATGTTTCCCCTCGGGTCTGCCCTCTGCTGGCTTCTTTACACCACACGGAGGACAGACCTCAGAGGGCTCCCGCGTCAGAGGGTGCAGGGCCAAACCCTGGCCCAGAGAAGGCTGTAATTTCCTGGGCTGCAGGCTGTAGACGCTTGTTCACAGTTTACCTTTTGTGATCTGCTGCCACCAGCTGTCGGTTTGGAGGGCTCGGTGTGATTCTCCTTGTGGAGGCTCAGGGGGGACAGCACTAACTTCTGGGCGGCCAGGCGGGGGCTGGTCCGGGTGGCCATGGTTGTTCTTCGCAGGACATACGGGCTTATCTTTCCCGTTGGGATGTCAGCAAACCCTAAGGGCAAAAAGGCCGCCTGTCAGCACTGCTAGGTCCCATTTTATCTACGACAGAAACGGTGTTCATTAGGTCAAGTTTTAACCAAGAGAAGTGTAACTGCAGAAACGCTTTCTCCTAGCCACAGTGGACAGCGATTAACTTCACAGGACCCCTGGGAGCTGTCAAATTGAATAAATAACAGATTTTCTCTTATTAGAAACATAAAATGCCACAATGAGAAAAGAAGAGGAAGAGAATATTAAACAGAAAATTTTTTCCCTGCTTCTTCTATGTGGCTATCTTAACTTGCATTTTTCTAAGATCTGAAGAAAACGCCTGCAGGCCCTCCTCTGTAAAATTTGGATTAGATTGAAAACAACAGAGAGAGTCAAGTGGAAAAAAAAATAAAAAAAGGCCAGCTCTTGTTTAAAGGGGGCGAAATGTAAAATGGGAACAGCTCCCTCTGGTGACTCCTTCATGGAGAGATGAGGAGGGGGAAGAGATCGGACCCTGCTAGGAGTGACTTCACTCTACACACATCCTCTCCTTCGGGCATGGGAACTGG